CGACCTGCTGGCCATGCTCTTTTTAATGCACCCCAGAATGCCATTGGCCTTTTTGGCCACAAGGGCACACTCCTGGCTCATGGCCAACCTGTCATCCACCAGGACACCCAGGTCCCTCTCTGCAGAGCTCCTCTCCAGCAGGTCATCCCCCAACCTGTACTGGTGCATGCAATTATTCCTCCCTAGGTGCAAGACTCTACACTTGCTTTTGTTAAACCTCATCTGGTTTCTTACTGCCCAGCTCTCCAGCCTGTCCAGGTCTTGCTGAATGGCAGCACAGCCTTCAGGCGTGTCAGCCAATCCTCCCAACTTCGTATCATCTGCAAACTTGCTGAGGGTGGCCACTATCCCCTCATCAAGGTCACTGATGAAGATGTTGAACAAGACCGAACCCAGCACCAACCCATTCCATTATTCCACTCCCCATTTTTTTCTTAAGTATCCTCCCCCAATTTTTATTTAATTGAAAAAACTCAAGCATACTTACAGCCTAACCATTAGCCTTCCTACTTTTCCTCGGTGAGAATTCTATTGTCCTCTTCTCTGCCTCACTTTCATTTTTCTTTTGTAACTTCTAAGTTTGATTATTTACTGTTCCTCCTGTTCTTCAAACTTCTTTAATGCTAGTTTTCTTGCACATATATTTTCTATATTGTCTTCAGATACAAGATCTGTGGTACATTTTCAGATATATAACACTTATTCCATACTTCACTTATCAACCTACATATAAATTACCTAAACAAAATCAGAAATAATTTGGGAAAAGGATCATATCATTTAAAAGGTCTGAAAAATTATACACTTCTATCAGCATGCAAAATTATTGAAGAGATAGGAGAAATAAAGGAGTGAATCCAAGATCAACTAATAATAAAGCTCCTTATACAGTCTACTTTTTGCGATGAGAACCATACTGAAGTATGTACTGATTCTTTACTTATAAGAATCATATCATAAGAAACGTATCTTAAATTAAAAGATAAAACCTAGAGCAGAATTTGAAAAGCAGAGTATCAAAAATACTACACAAGAAGTAGATTCTTACTTGTGTTACTCCTTTGCCTACACACTTCCTTAATATCATTAGAACAGTTATACATTCTGATAGCTGTAGAGCCAAAAGAAAAAAATCCTATTCAACAAGGGACACGGTTTCTAAAATCAGAGAATGCATAGTAGATGCAACTGTGTCCTACCTAATTCATAGTGGAAAAATCCACACCTTCAGTGGATTTAATTTAAGGGCACACCTTCTCTCCTTGCCAACTTGGATCAAACTGGTCTCAGAAAAAGACCCTTTAGCCCTTCATTCCACTTTTTCTTTTTTAGGCCCAGAACTGATCAGAAAGGGAAGACATAGCACAGTAATGTGGCTCACCAAATTGGGTGCTACAAAATATCTTTCTTTTTTCTCTAAAAGAACAAAAATAGCACTACATTCCTCCAAAATGTTAGTATAAAGTAAGAAACAACCAAAACCAATTAATATTAAGATATTGTTCTAGCACCGTTTTCTACAAGGAAGGACATCCGTATGTCCACTTTATTCACTCATAAGAGTTTCCTGATGTTTTAAAAAAATCTCTCTCCATATGTTGGAAAATGTTTTCTTTCATTGCAAAGTTTTCAGATTTTGAACTAAGTATAGGTTTTTGAATGTTATCTCCACCATGGAAGTAAATAGCCAGTATTAGATTCATATCTTCCAAAAAATCTTATGCTCTTAAAACCAGAAATGCTGTCTGTACACTACACTTGAGAAAAATATTTAAATCAATAAATCCACAACTAACCAGTTAGCTCTGGTTTCTTCTGTCATTTCCTTGCTACAGCTGGATAAACTTCTACAATTTACATGAACAGCCTATTTATTGAATCTTTTGTCATCTGCAATGAACTGTGGGTGACATCCTTAGTAAACTAGCAATTGCAGGTCCTTATTCAATACTCCAAGCACAAAATAGTGATCCGATTGTGAAATACCTTTCACTATTAGTTCTGCATAGTTCGATACTCCAACCCCTCCTTCTGTTCGAATCATGCAGCGATACTTGCCAGCATCCCGCTTCGTGGCATTTACCACATTAAAAAGAGCTACAAATCGTCGAACATTGAACACTTTTATATTCTTCAAAGGTGCATCCCTCACGTAAATACCCTAGGCAAAGAAACAAAAATAAAAAATATTGTTAGTCACACTTAAAAAAAAAAACCAAAAAAACACAACACAAAAAACACCTGAAAAATAATTCTATTTCTCTTAAGCTCCCCAAGAGAGGAGGAAAGGTGAAGGCAGACGTCTGCACTATTACTTTTACAGATGTTTACACTGTGTGAGACGCTATTGCCTTCCCATGTGAGTTAAAACATTCATCATCAGTGGGCAACCACTCATGTGGAACAGCTGCTTTCAACTCTTTATAGATTAACTAATAGAAAAATTGGAGAGCAGTGTAATATTTTACTTGCTTGGCTTACCTTACACAAGTACTTAAAGTTCATTGGTTTTTGCTCAGTTTTGTTTTTCCTAAAGAAGCATAAAACAGCATACACAGTCTCTATTTTCCACTCTCCTCCACATCTGCTATTCAGCATATGCATTTGGCACAGCATGGAAATCTAAGTGTGTGGTTGTCATATAACAGACCCTACACTTGGGATTATCAGCAAGTCAGGTGGAAGAGATTTGCCACAGATTTACCAGGTGAATGACTACCAAGGCTGAAGTTGTCTCAATTTCCCAGTTTCTCAGCACAATACTGGAAATTGGGCAATTTCTACTCCAGTGGAACATCTTGCTCTCAATTCAACATCTTGCATGCACAGAACAAGAAAATTATCTACATAAAGCTGAGGAGCACCAGGCCCCGAAGTCCCGGCCTGCTGTGTCCTGTCATCCAATGCATGTCTGGAAGAGGAAAAGAGAGGGGAGTAGATGGAAAAGGACAGAGATGATGTCTTGTCACATCCTCTGACATGAAGCTGAGGGTTAAGAGACAGCTCTTATATCCTCACCAGAACTCATGCTCTAGCTGGCCACGAAATACTCTAGATCCACTAGGAATGGTCGAAGAAACTTCAGAAAATGTAATAACCTAATTATTACAGATGGTTAAAAAAATTATACACAAAATCTACTTAAAACAGTTATTCAAATGTGTACTTTCCACACAAACGTTAAGTTATTCAATAAATTGAAGCCTACTGCCATTATTAAAGCATTATAAGAAACCACGGAAAACCCCATCAAGCACCTCCCCAAAGATGTTATCTTTGGGAGGGCATATACAACCTTATGGTATTTAATATACCAGTTATTTTTGGTAGGTTTTCCTGAACCCAGGAACTTCAGGCAGAGCAAGGGTCCTGCGCTAGCTTCCATAAACTGTCAACACAATTGGTGATGTCTGTTTCTCTGCCTTGGAATTTATAGTTTATCCAACAGAATTTAAGACCTATATAGGAAACACTGACTTCAATTTGTTATGGCCTTCATTTGTCAGCATACTGAATGTAACCTTAAAGCACCAGGTAAAACCAGAAAGCTACAAGAAATAGTTGCAGTAAATTAAACGTATCCATAATCACAAAACCAAGTCAATGTTAATCATGCCATTGATGCCAAAGAAGCGGGATAATTAATCATAAACACTGTTTGCACTTTAACACTGTAAGGCAAGAGTTATTTCCTCTTAAAAAATAAACATGGGTGACACATAGCTTATTAAAAAGAAGAAGAAAAAAAAACCTATAGGATGCCCAAAGAATGTACTGCCATGCCTTAAAATTTACTCAAATTATTACATGGCAATTACTTTAGATTACTACCAGCTCCTTAGAATTCCTAGAATTCGAACTTGAAGATAAACTGACTGCTCTGACATGGTATATACCGAAAACAAAACTTGGAAAGAAGCATCCAAAACAACTGCTGCAAAACTACTATTTTTAATGATTTTGCCACTGTATTATCATTCAAGCAAAAACAGTAGGAAATAGCAGGATGCAAGCTGAATAGGTTATGCATGTTTTTGGAGAATTAACAATACTTAAAGTCATATATACTCTTCAATTCTTAAAACAATGACTGATTAGTCCTAATTATCAGAGCTGCTAAGCAGTCACAGATCACTGCTTTAAAGAGTTTTTCTGTAGTTCTCAGACTTCAAAGACTCGTGCTTATGTTGCATCTACCCATGATAGCTTTTTCTTTTTTCTATCTGCAACAGGAAGCTCTGCATGGGCTATGTCCTCCTGCCAAGAAATCTGTAAATAACTCTCTAGGAAACAACTTGCCATCACACATAGATTAATTCTAGCACCTACACTAACTCAGCTGATTTTAAGTGTGAACAAGAACCTCCACATTCCAGCTGCAGTGCACACCTACCCCTCACGTGGGGCTTCTATGGCCAGAATTTAACAGGATCCTCACAAGTTACAACACAATTGAAGAACTGCACATTTTAAGATTGAGAATAATAGAATCATAGAATTGCTCGGGTTAGAAAAGACCTTCAAGATCATCAACTCCTACTGTAACCACACAATACTACACTAAATTTAGGTACCCCAATTTAGTTCTTGCTGTCCTTTCACCTTCCTGACAAAGGCTACAGGATGCTGTCAAAGGGAGGCAAAGTGAAAGGACCAGGCAATGCCACAAGGCAAGATACTCTCTGTCTTGTTCTGGAAGAGCCAAGCACATGAAGAGAGGAGACCAAGCAAAGTGTGATGCATTCCCACTCCCTGATGGCAGTCTCCTAACATAAACCTATTAGAACCTCCCACTGCCTGCTACAGATCCTTACCACCACCAGCCTAATCTCTTTCACCTTACATTTATTCCCAAGCATACCAATCTCACCTGATTTCAAATATCTTAACTGCTGTTCTAGAACAGCAGACATTTTAATCAAATAACTTGACTATAGGGATGTGCTACACATGATATCCGTTCACACGTCAATAATTTTGACTGGGAAACATAGAAGCCTTAGCTTGTTTCAAAGACATGCATCATTTTGTTCAAATAATGAAGTTCTGTGAGCGCTAAAGAGAACTCAGCTTGGCTTTAAAGAAGATTTGAGGCTTTTGGTACCCCACTGGAATTCATATATGAAACAGATCGTTATGGGTGCCTTCAAAATTCATGAAGGAGTTCCATAATAGAAAGCCTTTATTATCATTATTACAACACACCTGCAAAGTATATGTATATTAGTATAAATAAAGATCATGCCTGACTTCTCTGAAACGTTACAAACTCACAAAGTGCAATGTGTCTAATGATATGTTAGAACTCTAGCAATCCTACAGAAATCACCAGTATGACATTCTCAAAGCTCAAAAGAAAAAAAAGATTTTTTTTTTTTTTCCCCAATGGTCTTTCTGTGAAAAATACATTTCCAAGGAAAAAGTAGTGTTTGGAATAGAGGGAGACTAAAAAACATAATTTGTTTACTTTCCACAGGAAGAAATATAGCTCAAGAGAGCATGTCTTTCCTCTCTTCACCAAACGAGAATAGTCACCTGATTGATATAAGCCTGAGCATAAATTAATGGTAATCAAAGTGATAAATTCAAGCATAAGAAGAGTTCAATTCACAGGCAATGAGAAAATAAAAATGAAGAGAGTTAAACACAAAATATAGAGGAAAGAAAAACTGAACTAAACCTACAAAGCCCTTCCAAAACCAGTTATTTCAACAACTGCTAAGTGCAATAAAGAGCATTTCTTCAGAATCAGTCTTATTTACCATTTCACAAACAAATACAGAAATGTTTCTACTTTAACTGCATCCACACAGCCAGCTTCTCTTTCTTTTTTTGTGATTCACAGTCCTCCTCTCTGACTCATTGCATAGCATCTTCAGGAAGCTGCACAGCTGTGACAGTGGGCACCTCTATGGGAGAATGCATGAACCATATTTCTTTTTCTATATTAACATGTCCCTTTAAGCATACTGTATGATAAACAACAAGTGCTTGCTCCATGCAAATTATGAACAGCTATTTCATTCAGAATACCTAAAAATAACATATTAATACTAAATGAACATTTCTTTACTGAATATATTAAAGACATCTACATTTTTTTTTAATTTATTATACTTAGTAGCATTCACAAAAATGATTTTTAAACTCAAATGCAAAACTTGGAAGTTTCACAAATAAAAGAGACCATTTATGTGGTCAATTATCTATTGTTTTAACAATTATAGCAATAAAAAGCTTCCATCTCAGCTCTTTTAAGATAGATGCTGAAATTAACTGAATTGCAAATTAATAATCTTTATGTGAGAGTCCTCACAAATACATCATACCTTAATGAAAATTAAATAAAAACCAACAGGTCTGTAATCTACTAGTCTGAATGCAGAAAACAGTTTACAATTCATGATTTTCAATGAAACATGAGAGCACTGTATATTAAAGACCATTAAAACAAACTGTCAGAGCAACTTTGTAGGGTCTTTTTGGTTCTTGTGCTTTGTGCAACTGTTTCCTATTAAATTCAGTTCACCAGGATAAATACAGTTCTTTTTATTTTGCTCAGTAGTTCTGTCGTGCCATGTGAAAGACTGAGGCTTCAATGCACATTAAGCCTGCTAGCTCCTTCTGCCTCTGGGACCTGGAAAACTGCACGAACAGGACGCTCCTTTGGAAAGAGAAAACTACCTTAATCATTTAATCCTAGGCCTGTTCGGAGTACAAAGGCTGCATCCCTAAGGCAGACCTACCTAACTTAGCACAGAAGAATTTTGACTGCAAAAAAATGGACTGTAAAATGCTGAGATCCAAAAATGAACATAGCAGATTCCCCCAGTTGCTGAGAAACCTCTATGTTTTCAAATGTTCAGAGAATGCTTCACCAAAACAAAAACCAACTAAACAAAGCCATACAAAAACAAATCAAGGATGCTATTTATGCAAAACAATGAATATAATTAATTGGTGAGTCACTGGTAAGAATACATTTTCTATTAAGCAATATGTAATTTAACATACAGGTATTCTGAAAAAATCTTAATTTAATCTTGGGATATAAACAGCTTGAAAATTCCTTCTTCTAGTACCACTATATTAAATTCATCCAAAGACAGCATAAAACACCCTAAAAATGCACATTATTTTTCCTTTCTAGGCAAGCTAGAG